TATTTAAGCTAAATTTATATTAATATATAGGAACATACAAATGAACTTTTAGAAAAATCACTAGATGCTGATTTTCTACAAACTACTTTGAAATATATGATTAAATTTGTTGGAAACCATAACATTATAGATATCTGAGCAGTTAGTGTTGGAAATTCAGTACAAATTAAGCACTATGTTCTTTTATTACAACATCATAGATATATTTGTACATGTCTTTCAATAACATGATCGGGAGTTATATGCAAACACTATTTTCAAGTTATGTTAACTACAAAAACAGCAATGTTTCATATTTGACTTATACCATCACAATGGTATTGTGTTAAGCAAAATGGATCGAATGAGCCTTTTTTAGTGGCTGATAAATTTGCACAAGAAATTGAAACTGTAACATTGAATTATGATGGTTCTGTGCCATATTTAAGTGTATTTTATCAGACTAGAACAGACTTTTATGAAGAAAACCTAACCATCCTTGAACAAAAAATTATTTACAGAAGCTTACATGGAATGTACAAGAAAGCATTGCATAAAGCATTGCAAAATAATTCTAAATCATAACAGCTTATTAATTTATTGAAAGAATTTATTGAAGAAATGGACAGTAACAAGTCATCAGATTCAAAAGAAAGTGTACAAGATGATAATATCAGTGATAAAGAAAATCAAACACCTGCAACAACTGTTTAACTACAAAATCCAAAAAGCATCAAGGTAAAGGTTGGCCTCCAGGTACTAAAAGGTTTAAATCCTTCTATAAAAGTTCTAAATCTTCAACAAAAAATCAGCACCGATATAAAAAGTGTAGAAATATTGGGCACTATCAAAAGAATTGCAAGGTAATTATCTATCATTAATATAGGTAAATGATGCAAATGCAATTATTAACAAAATTGCATAACATATATAGCAATTAGAATCAAGTGCAAATAAATAACCTTGGAATGTAAATGCCAATATCGATCTTGTTTAATATCAATATTGGCATTTATCTCTAGCTTTAATTTCTTTACTAACTAATTAGCCAACCTATTATTCAGTAATTGTTTGTGATTTGATTTATGTATTCAAAGTGATATTCAAAGTCATAATACTGTTATAATTTAATGTCATGATGCATGCTGTTTTTTTTATTTATAGCTATCAATAAGTGAAGACTATACTATAAGTACTAACTATTTTAGATTTTAGCTATTAATGTTGTTGTAAGTATCTCTTATTGGCACTTGTGTTAGGTATCACTTTGGCTGAGTTAAGGTTAGAGTTGTTGCATCTCATATTAATGCTTGTGTTAGATGTTGCTTTTACCTAAGTTAGAGTTAGAGTTTATTGTACCTCTTATTAACACTTGTATTAGATATTACTTTTGCTTAAATTAAGGTTAGGGTTTGTATTAGGTGTCGTTTTGGCCTGAGTTGGGGTTTTATAATTATTGATTAGTTAATTCTCTTTATATTATTTATATTTCAGATTAAATTAGTTTGTAGGTCAAGTTAAGCTTGACCCAGGTCAAATTGATCCCTAGCAGAATTTTAGAATAAGGGCAGGCCGGAATTGTGTTGATATTGGCCAGAGTTTTTTAATTAATTAATTTGATTCGGATCAAGTTTAACTTTAACCTAGAAACCAATTTGATCTGTAACATTTATATCTGATAAGCATTAATTTGAAGTGCATGTTTATTATTTTTTATAAGTCTACAAAGTAGAGATCCGAAGCTAAATATTTAAGGTTTCACAGTAGCGACTAATCCCTTGAAGAATTGTAACTTATAATGTTTTGATAAAATAACTGATATGTATTATTGTATTGCTAAGGTTTGCTATTATGAAATCTTAAACATTTACTTTCTGATTTTTACACTATAGTGCTTTTATTTTTTATGATTAGTTCATTGCATGATTAAGTAGATGAGTATAGATAATAATCTGTTAACACTGGTAATGATTTGAAGATTCAAAAGTATATAAATAGATTTGGGAACTAGATGTATGTGATATATAAATAAAGATATATATACAACTAATCGTATACTAGCATATTAAAAATTGTATTATAATTGCTTTGTTTTATTGATAGCATAATTAATAGTTATATATTTGTATCATATAAAAATAGGGACTAGTGATAGCAGTAAATAATATAATCCTTTAGATAAAATAAGCTAATTTGATTGAATTAATTTATTAATTCAAAATACTAATTAGTATTAATTTGTAATATTTAATTTAAATTAACAAATATATTGCAATTAGTAAATTACCAATTAAATAATTTTTATTACCCAGTAATTTACTAATTATAATATATAATATACTTTTATAAAACTAATTTTATCAAAATTGATAACTTATTACAGTGTTAGACAAAAGTTTCTTTGCACCTATATCTGCTTATAGAGAGATGCTACAGCTTTAAAACTTTCTAAAATAATTAGTCTAGATAGTGTATTTTTTCAGTAATTTTTCAATTACTAAAAAAAATTTAAATAAGAGCCAAAGTTTTAAATAATTTTTTTTATAAAAAATTAAAAAATTAATTTAGTTCAATTAAAATTGTCAAAAAGGCAATAGAGACTATCTTTATACTGATTCTATATATAGCAGCCAATCTTATTTAGGGTTTAAAAATTTTCTTTAGATTTTTTTATTATAAAAGTTATAAAATTTGTAAAAAAAATTTATTAAGTAATAATAAGCAATATATTATATAGTCATATATTCAATTTTGATTAACTATTTATATAGAGTCTTTATGATAACTCATTGCTATAAACTTTTTTTTTTTTTTTTTTTTTTTTGTAAATGCCATAGTTGAAACTTTATTTAAAAAAAGTAGAGAAAGATCTACAT